CATAATAAATGAGAACTTATACCAAACAGTCCCAGCTTCCTTTGAGAAACCTATGAAGAGACCAGTGAGCTTGGTCGTCAGACTCTGTTAATTAGAGTGACTTGTTGAACCAATTGGCCAATGGCTTCAGTCATGTAGAATGCCACTTCCCTACCTTTTCATGGTTTCTGTTAAAGCTTCTTGAAAACGTGGTGATGATTACGATTTCCTAAAACGTAAGATTTTGAACCGTCTTATCTTTACGCCGTAACGTTTCGGTTAAGAATTTGCGTACCTGGAATGCATAACAGCACATAATTTTATCGGAGGAAAATTATAATAGAGACTATAAATGCACAGGGGTAGATATATTAGGCCGTGTGAGAGACTCTTTCTTGAGAACTTTCACAGTTGACTTCATTAATGATATTATAACAATTTTGATTCCATATGTTCTTATTATAAGGGTTGAAAGCTAACTTTGGGAGAAATTAAAGAAAACGTACGCAAAATTAGATGTATAATATAAATATATATAATTTTAGGATGCATGACTTATTATGAAATATACTTGTGTGATGGCTTATTTTTATAGTTAATAAAATTAAATTTTAAAATCATCATCAATATGTATAAATTGCGAAATACTCTTCTTAGGAGAATTAAAGTCATTTTCTCTTGACAGTCTTGAAATTGTCATACCGTCAGAAAGGTTTCATGATTCTTTTTTTTTTTTCACAATGTTTGTATCCACCATGAGAGTGACACTTCATTCCAAAATTGAAAGAATAAGAATACATACTTGAAAATATAGGTAGAGATGACACTTTCGAATCTACGTTTTTTTTTTATTTGAATGATAACTGAGAAACAAATAAAAGGAGACAAGATACAAGTCCAAGCTAACCAAGCCTATTGTCCATCATCACTTTCCACCTCAAAACGTAGAGGGGGAGGGTGATCTACATGTTATTTTACAGTAAATTTAAAATACTATTTTAATATATTTATATAGGAATAGAAAGGGCAGTGGTCCATTTATGTTTCATTATGGAAGAATTAACTAGGCTAAAGACTTCAAATTTTTGTAAGTTTGAACTCAAACATGTAGTACAATTATATTTTTTAAATAAATATTAATTTTTTTAAAAAAATATGTGTTTTCTTTATTGGGTAGTTAGTCACATTACTTTTTTACATGTAATTAGAAAATTAAAATAGTTGATATCAAATGGACACAGGCTAAGAGGATTTTTGTTATTGGCAAGCACAATTTAGCGACAAGATAGTAGAGCTGCACAATTGTTTATTTTCTCTTATTTGTCACACTCTCTTTTTCAATCATATTTTCCCATGCATTATTTTTCTTATTTATTATAAGAACTTTTTTTTGGTCAAAAATTATAAGAACATATTAAGAAATAAAAATATATCTTTTACTTATTTATTATTGAAAGTTTATAATACAGATTTTTTTAATTGAAAGATTTATAATCCAAATTAAGTTTATCATGGCTAGAGAAGGCAGCAAAACTGTACCACCACATATTTAATATTGTTGCATTCACAAGACTCCAACTTGATGGAAATCTTTGGTTATGTTGATACAACTCAGACACGTGTGCTCTCATAAGGGAAAAAAAAGGGAGAATCATGGCACATCAGTTTCGACGAGATATCTTTAAAGGAGACTGGACCTTTTGATTTTACTTTTTGAGCATAGTTCCATGGCTGTGTTTGGGTTCGGTTTGCCTAACATACTAGTCTTGTTGAAGTCTTGGGCCTTCCTTGGGCCATCACTTTTTGTGGAGAAAAGACTTGCCCAATTACCAGAGTTTTGAAAGTAAAACTGTTTTTTTAACTATATAGAATTACTTGGCGGAAAAAAAAAAAGAAGTGTCCGGAATTACTTGCTTAATTACAATTTTTATATTATAAATTCATTGTGGAAAATTATTTACTTTGTAATTTGGCAGACAAAAATTTAATTAATTAATTAATTTTTTTTATATCTAAAGAGAGGCCAAAGAATAAGAGTTAATGATGACTCAATAATTCTTATGAATGAGTGAATGATTTCTATTAAAGTAAGAGTCTGACCCCAAACTAAGACGAAACCCAACTGATGAACAATATGATCACTATCATAAAGAAGGTAGCTTGGTCTAACAAATCACAATATAGAACTCTTACAATTACTGAATGAAAAACCTCTCCTCTATCAATTGTTTTCTTATAATGAATTAAAACATGTATACCTTCTCTTTTCCCATAATATCGAAGTGAAGCCAAAAGGACAAAAGGAAATGGCATTTATGTGTAATCTGATTTCATGATGAAGTTGAAAGAAGCATATCAGGCAACGATGGACAGCGTATCCTCTTCGTTCCTTGCAACAAACTACGATATTTAAATAACAGATTAAAGGTTACTCAACTTTGTCATTAGCTAATTTACAGAGTTTAAGACACGAAACAAATGAATAAATAAGCACATTCGCTTAACTACTCGAGGAGAATATATATTCTAAACAAAGTTTTCACAAGAATCTCAGAAGATGCATGTTGTCAGCAGTTGGGTAACAAATTTATATGTGACATGCGCATGCAAACATCGGTTCATTTTAGAAAAATAAAGACAAATGTTGATTGCCTTTACGTGGGAGCCGATCCAATCCATCTACGCAATTTAGCCGTGTTTATGATTGCAACCACGTACAATTTTTCATAAGCCTCACTCCAGAACTTGAAGTAGGCATGCCTCCATGATTTCTTCAAAACCAATGATCACCAACTGCCCAAAATCCGGAGATAAACCCCATTGCCAAGCTAATGTAGAACACTAATTGGCTGAAAAATTGATCATCGTCTTCAAGACCAAGTCCATCATTTTCATGATCATCTCTACCTTGCTTAGCTGGACATCTAGGGAGGGGAGCTCCACAGAGATCAAGATTTCCCACATAAGCAGGCGCATCAAAGCGTTGAAGTTGCGTTCCGTGTGGGATTTCTCCAGATAGTTTACTGAATGGTGAGTCCATTACTCTGAGGCGATCTATATGTGCACATTCAGATGGAATTCTTCCAAACAAATGGTTTCTTGATAGATCAAGTGAGTCCAATGACTCCAACTGTCCAATGCTTCGAGGGATTTCTCTGTTAGTCTTGTTTCTTGACAAGTTTGAGGAAACCAATCCAACGAGATCCATCATTTCGCTTGGAATTTCTGCAGTTGACGTGTTGTTGGAGAGATCAATACTCTTCACTAGTCCCAAGATAGTTTGATATGTAGCTTCTGTACCTTTTCACACAGGTGATGTGCTATCTTCGAATAAATAATTGACTAAAAACCCGAACACTACCACTACTCCCGTAAGACCACGGAGTTTAGTTTGTTTTATCAGCCAAAGCAGAAAGATTGTTGAGGCATTTGGGTAGACTTCCTGAGATGTTTTTCATGGAGAGATCAAGAATTTGAACTTGACAAAGATGGAAAATATTGAAGGGCAAGCTACCAGCAAACATAGTGGACCTTAGAATAAGTACACGCAACAAACCCAGTGCATCTCCAATCCAACTTGGAAATAATCCAGAGAAATTGTTTTCGGCAACATCAAATGGATGGCATTTCACCAGCAAGTTTGTTGTTTGCAAAATGAAATTCTCGAATTTGTCTCAGGGTACCCAGTGAATCAGGAATCTCTCCGAAGAATCTTTTATTTGCGACACTAAAGAAGATCAAGCATTCAAAATATTTCCAGCAATCAGGAAGGGCTCCAGACAATTGAAGTCATTTATGATCCCAAATAACCATGTAATCACCAAGGAAATTTTTACTTAATAAGTCCAATTGCCAGAATCACAACAATCAATAAGAAAAAAGGAGATTATTAAAAGTGTCAGTGTGTATGATCTTTTTTTTTTTTTTTGAAAAAAATAATTTTGTTTTAAAAGACCCTAACTTTTTTTCCAGCTATATCTTGAGGATTTTAAGTTTTCAACTCTGATCACAATATTATCGAAATCTGATCCTATCTTAAATTTAGTTATGCATCATCAATGCGCACGTGTGTTTGGTCCTGGAAAAGAAGCTTGATGTCCTTCCTTCCTTTGATCGCAAGGTTCATATATAAATTGTTACAGGTATCTAACCCGGAAAAAAAAAATTGTTGCAGGTAGAAGACAACACAAGAAAAGAATTTAATGGCAACGAAAAGATATTGAGAGATGCTGTATCCACAAATCTAAAGCTATCAAATAGTACATCATTTGTTTCAATTTTTCCCTTTTTATAGACCGTCCCAAAAGTTTCTCAGAATCAGAATTTCTTATCACATTCAAATAGTGTTGTATTAGCTCTCATTGTAACTACCTAATAACTCTTTCTTATCTTAACAGAGGAAAAGATTTCAAATAAATAACTAAAAAGACGAGTATCATGAATTTAAAGCGTGGCATGAAGTTGGAAGTTGGAATCCTGTCACGACCAAGCAAAAGATCCAGATGTTGTTTGTCTCACAACATACACAAATTGGGATGACTGTGTTCTTCATTTTGCTGTTCCCTTTTCCGTTCACTCTTTTCCAGTACAACTGTGAGAAATCTTCACTTCATCCTGCTTTTGGCAATCAGTTGGCAAGTCTTTTTCCTTTTTCCTTTTTTGTCTCCATTACTTATCTTTTGTTCTAATCTCTACCATCATGCACAAAATCATCCAACATACCTGAGCCAATGAAGATACACTAAAGGCCCAAAAAAAAAAAATCGTCCATTTATTAAGTTCCCCAGACATTAGGATCTCGTCCACAATGACAAGGGGGAGTATGAGCACAGACCAAAGTCGTGGATAGAGCTACATGCTAATCGCACCTATATGAAACAAAGTAAAGAGACAAGGAATTTTCTTGTGATTTCCTTTTGATCAAGTTAATCGACAGACCAAAGAACTGCTTAGCATAGAGCTGCATGCCTTTGAGGTTGATTCACGTTGGCTGACCGTAGGAGTGTCCTTTTGGGTTGAGATGAAGCAGCCTCTAGCGTCTTGAAAAATTCTTCAGGGAGAGGAGGAGGTCGATGGTAAGGAATATGCTTAGGAATTGGCGCATCATTCTCAACAACTTCACATTAATAATCATCTGGGACACCCCATGGATTCCACTCTGCATTCAACATAAAGCATGAGCGCGCGCGCGCGCACACTCATTAAATCCTACGTTTTACATTATTTCTAAAAGTGGATTCACATTATTCCAATAGAGACAGCTAAAATCGTACCAATTCATCAAAGTAAAGATCTTAAAAATGCAAGACATATAATGGCCAGAATGATTTTATTTTAGTGATCAAAGATATTATTCTAGGATAAATGATGTCCACCAAATTGTCTGGTAACTCATCTTTACATACGATTTGCCCCATATTATATAGTTACAGGTGTGGGCTAAGGTTAAAAGGAGTTTCTACATAGTCGTATTAATTGGGAGAGGCGAGAGCCTTGGAGAGGGCTGCATGAGAAACAGGGAAGGGAATGAACCAAGGCAGCTACTGTAACAGCCAGAGAAGATTTTTGAAGAAGCTTCAGCTGGGAGGTTGCTGGCTCTTCTATCGCCAGGCAAGTCTTCTGTATTTTCTGCAATTTTCATCCACTGCCACCTGTGAGTTCTGGTATGTGAGGTTGAATTATTGGGAATTAGAAACTCACCCGACGGGTAACCAAGAAATGCCAACGATACACTAAAGCATAACCTGCACTTATTCTCAGGGAAATTATTTTGTTTTTATCAGTCGTCTATATATATCACATATTCTTCTCAAACTAGAAGGATGAACAAAATCTTCGGAAGAATATTTGATCTATTTCACAGGATGTATTTCCGCTTGATAAGATTGTTGGGATTCAAGTCTTTCGATCAGAGCTTTATTTGGCACTGGCATATATAATACCTAGTTCGAGAGAACTAGTACGTGGTTCAAGAACAAGAGTGCAAAGAGGAAGTTAAAATTCATGCCAAATACTAAGTTTTTTTATGTTGCAACTTAACCGTGTACTTCGTAGAGCAAATAAAAATGGAATGTCTATATTCTGGACCTATTTTAGTACTTTTCACATCATTTTTGGCTTGAAAAGCAATAGGAGTCTCAGTAGACAAAGCAGAGCCTCCGCCAACCAAGAAACAGAGTGGTTTCTAATGCAGATAAACAGTGAAACAATTTCATGCTATACAGTGGTTCACAAATGGAAATAAATACAAAGAAGAAATTCAGATAAAAGCTTCCTTTCATACTCCACTAAATACATTATACAATCATCACGAGACTGATTCCCCGGTCCTCCAAATTCTCACCAACGAAATAATTATTACACGGATAACAACGCAGCTAAATCAGCTAACTTTTCTATGTTGAGTTAAATTTTCCACAATTTCCCTTCCTCACCAAAAGTAATTTTCTTGCCAACATTCATCAACACCGATCATTATCATCAATCCCAACAGCAGAAAGAAAAAGGGATACACCAACATTCAATACCGATCATTATCATCAATCCCAACAGCAGAAAGAAAAAGGGATACATCAACATTCAATACCGATCATTTTGCTGATGAGTGTGAGCTCATCCTGAGCCTCTTCGATGAGCTCCTCGACCTGGCCACAGCCAAGGCGCTTCTCGATCATTTCCCAATCTCTCTTCCTCGCAAACGTTGAGCCTCTGCCTTGTGAAGCTCTCTACGGCCTTACGGTAGCCTTCATCCTCAAGGACGGCCTGGACCTCCTTCAGGGTTTTAGTGTAGAGACCGATCAGAACCTCCCGCACGTTCGGCACCACATCCAGGCCCACGATCCCCGTCGTCTCCTTCACTTTGGCCATCAATGGCCGTGCAACCGTGCGCAGGAACATTTCGCAGAGAAAAATTTGCGTCGCACCCGATCACTGTGTCATCGGTAGTAGAGCTGCACAATTGTTTATTTTCTCTTATTTGTCACACTCTCTTTTTCTATCATATTTTCCCATGCATTATTTTTTATTATTTTTCTTATTTATTATAAGAACTTTTTTTTGGTCAAAAATTATAAGAACATGTTAAGAAATAAAAATATATCTTTTACTTATTTATTATTGAAAGTTTATAATACAGATTTTTTTTAATTGAAAGATTTATAATCCAAATTAAGTTTATCATGGTTAGAGAAGGCAGCAAAACTGCACCACCAAATATTTAATATTGTTGCACTCACAAGACTCCAACTTGATGGAAATCTTTGGTTATGTTGATACAGCTCAGACACGTGTACTCTCATAAGAGGAAAAAAAAAAGGGAGAATCATGGCACATCAGTTTCGACGATATATCTTTAAAGGAGACTGGACCTTTTGATTTTACTTTCTGAGTATACTTCCATGGCTGTGTTCGGGTTCGGTTTGCTTAACATACTTGTCTTGTTGAAGTCTTGGGCCTTCCTTGGGCCATCACTTTTTGTGGAGAAAAGACTTGCCCAATTACCAGAGTTTTGAAAGTAAAGCTGTTTTTTTAACTATATAGAATTACTTGGCGGAAAAAAAAAACAAGAAGTATCCAGAATTACTTGCTTAATTACAATTTTTATATTATAAATTCATTGTGGAAAATTATTTACTTTGTAATTTGGCCGACAAAAATTTAATTAATTAATTTATTTTTTTTATATCTAAAGAGAGGCCAAAAAATAAGAGTTAATGATGACTCTAAGTCTTATGAATGAGTGAATGATTTCTATTAAAGTAAGAGTCTGACCCCAAACTAAGACGAAACCCAACTGATGAACAATATGATCACTATCACAAGGAACGTAGCTTGGTCTAACAAATCACAATATCTGAAGGATTTGCTCAGAAATACTAAGCTACAAATTCCCCAAAATCCTGTTCCAAATCCGATGGACGAGCTGATAAAGAAACCTCGACGGAAAATTTGTTCATCTTCTTCCGAATTCTCATCATTTGGATGATCTTGTGTTGGGCTTGTGGGACATTTTGGAAGGGGAGCACCACATAGATGAGCATTTCCCTCATAAGCAGAGGGATCAAAACTTTGAAGTTGAGTGCCATGAGGAATTTCTCCTGACAAACTGTTGTGTGATAAATCCATCACACTAAGACGATCCACGTGTGAAAGTTCTGAAGGAATGTGTCCAGATAAGTGGTTCCTTGACAAATCAAGAAAGTCCCACGACTTCAGTTGTCCAATGGTGGCAGGGATTTGTCCACTGAGCATGTTTCTTGAAATGTTTAAAAGATCCATCAGTTCACTTGGAATTTCTCCCGTTAACATGTTGCAAGAGAGGTCGATGGTTTTAACTAATCTCAATATACTTTGGTATTTGGATAACTTACCTTTCCATACCAGTGTTGCAGTGTCGTCCTCTGTTAAAAAGAATAAAGGGAGACCATAAAGTTTATTGCCACTAGAATAAGTATACGGTACTGTTGCATTAAACTTTGTTTGATTCTTCAAACCAGAAAGATGGTTGAGGCATTTTGGCAAACTTCCAGAAATATTATTCATCGAAAGGTTGAGGATTTGAAGTTGAGAGAGATTACAAATATTGAGTGGCAAGCTCCCAAAAAACATTTTGGATCTCAAAATGAGGATGCTTAGCTCCTTAAGCCCATCTCCAATCCAGTGTGGTACTAATCCCGAAAAATCATTTCCGACAGCATCAAAAACCACTAGATCCATGCATTTATTCAGAGACAAAGGTATTTCACCTGAAAATTTGTTGAATCCTAAATGTAAGGATCGTATATTTATCAATGAACCCATTGATGTTGGAATTTCTCCGTATAGGCTATTAATTGCAACATCAAGAAGGGCTAATGATTCAAAATATTTCCAACAATCTGGAAGCACTCCTGATAGTTGATTGTTTGAGAGATCTAGGATCTCTAATCCACGGTCTTGTTCGGACATAAGAAAGTACTAGCATCTGTGAATTTATTATTAGATAGAAACAATGCCGAGGCTGTACGTGATAAATTTGATGGAATTTAGCCTTCGAACAAATTTGAGCTCAAATCCAGATCCTTAGTAAGAGAACCATATCCGAGTTGAAATTTCTCCGGTCATTTGGTTGTGTGAAAGGTTCACGCGTCTAAATGACAAATCCCAAAACCAACTTGGCATCATACCAGAAATTTCAGCATTTGAAATATCTAATGACAAACTCGACTTCTGGGTTCAAAGCCAATTTGGAAAGCCAGGGCCCAACTTACATGATCTTAAATGAATGTCGGCTAACTGAAAAGGGGGGATCCAATCAGGATTGATTTTAAATTCCAAGCTGTTAAGAGACAAGTTCAAGTAATGTAGCTGAGAGAGTCTCAAGAAATGAGTTTCAGTTATGACACCATGCAAGAAATTTAATGTCTAGACCCTGGAGCTTTGACAATAATCCAATGCCATCATTTACAGTTCCGTTGAGTTGATTGTTGGAGAGATATAATATTTCCAAAAATGAGAACCGTGAGAAATTAGGTACTGACCCCACAAACCGATTATAAGATAAATCTAAGGTCTGTAGTGATATGGTGGCGCAGTGGTCAAATGATGCAACAAAGTCATCTAATTGTCCACTCAAGGAGTTGTGAGATAGATCTAACTCTGTTAAGTTGCACAAGGGCAAGGATTTGGGTATGCCACCTGTTGGCGGCAGCAAAGGAGGAACAACAAATCTGGTTCGAGTCGCGTCACAAGGACACTGTCCTTGAGAGATATTCCGCAACCCCTCGGTGTAACAGGCAGCGGCACTCCCCAGGATCAAACGAACCCTTCCTGCAAAGCAAGGTAGCAGAACAACGAAAGCAATTGTAACAAGGAACACAGCGGGAGAGAAGAGGAAGAGGATGGATCAGCGTCTCTCACGCTGTCTGGACAACCCCTTATATAGGCGCGAACGGCCACATCACCGGAAGACGCATCCCTCTGTTTCGCCGAGCGGGTACGACGAAAGCAACGCAAGGTTCCGTTGGAGACGGAACAACACAAACGTTGGTGCACACAACATTCGTTTACACCCTGCAAGACGTGTCCGGTCGGCCACAGAACGAGATGGCAAGCCTCTTGACTCTTAACAGGTCCAAAATAAGGCTTTTCTGGTAAGCAAAATTTTATTAAAAAATATTCAACAAAGTTTAAAATAATTTTTGTAAAATGAGGCATTACCATGTCTAATTCACGCGTAGGGGGAAATCGCCGGTTTACAACTGCGTTTCTCTCTTAGTGGCTCGTTGTTGTGTACGTAAGGCCCAGTTCCCTCTTGGCCCATTTACCCCCCAAGGAAGCTTGATCTCATTTATACACTTAGTCTTCTTCTCATCTTTCCCATGTGGGACTTTATTTGACACACACATTGCATTGTTTCACAACACCACCTTCAAGCTGGTTTTCCTGAAGGTAAAGTGTTTGCAAGCGCGACAAATATCCCCAATTGGGAGGTATGTTTCCTTTCAAATTTGTGAAGGAGAGATCAAGATATTGCAATCTCTTTAAAGAAAGAATGGAGTCTGGGAATTTAGTTGCAGAGAAATTTTGGCCACTAAGGTTCAAATAATTCAAATGATGCAATTCAGCCAACGACGGAGAAATTGTACCTTCCAAATAGTAGTAAGAAAGATCGAGTGCATACACATGGCCCGTTCGGCTGTCACAAAAAACACCATTCCATGTGCAACAATCTGTGTTGTTCTCTGAACTTCCCCAGGTAGAGAGGCAGCCATCAGGATCAACAAGGCCACGTTTGAGAGAAAGAAGGGAGAGTCGTTCCTTGACTTTGCACTTGATAGTAGTGTTGCCAACTGCGAGTGCCCCGTGAGAATAATGCACCAAAAGCACAAGGCAAGCAACAACAAACCTCATATCTACCATCCTTACGCTCTGGATATAAGGTTATGAAGTTCGCTATGTGAGAGAACAAGCACCACAAAGGCCGTGTATTTATAGGCAAGATTTTGTTGTCTTCATGACAGTGTTGGAGGATATACAGACTCTCAATATGAATTCAAAAGTATATATAACAGGCTTTAAATTTTCTAAATTCAAGATCTTGAATAAATAAACAAAGAGATTTGGATATATGAATGATTTGAAATCATTTACTACACCATATATACTCCTCCGGTCCTAATTATAAGACCCAATTAACTTATTTGAGGAGATTAATGAAGTAAGTTAAGTTGGTTATTTATAATAAATAAGTGTTGTTATTCCTAAAATATCCTTGCTAATTAAGTATATTGGCTAAAACTATCATTATTAGAAGGATTATCTTGGAAAAAAATGCATAAATATAAGAGAGAAAATGGATTGGGTCTTATAATTAGGACCAAATAAAAAGTCAAATTGGGTCTTATAATAAGGACCGGAGGAGTATCATTTTAACTTAATAGCGACAAAAAACAGAGGCAAAGTATTTGTTGACCACCACGAGAATTGACTTGTCTTTCCCTCTTATCCATATACTGTCTAATATTAAGTCATGTGAGAGACTTCCATCGACTTTTCTTCAGAAGTTTGAAGTTTCGACAATTAACTTCATTTATTAATATGACAGTTTTGGTTGCATATGCTCTTATTTATGTGTGAAGTTAAATATGTACTGTATGCGTGAAAGGCTTCGTGATCAAAGACTTTGAGTATGTTTGAAATAACATATAAGTAGCTTTTTAATCGTAATTTGTAAAATACAAGATAAGTATGTAAAAAGAATTTTATCTCGATTTACGTGATATTTGGTTACAAGCGATGGGCAGCAGATCCTCTTCATTAATTCCTTCCAACAAACTACGATATCTAAATAACAAATTAGAGGTTACTCAACTTTGTCATTAGTTAACTAACAGAGTTTAAGATATGAAACAACTGAA